TGACTCAGTCTTCCTAGTTGCATAGATTTTCCTCTCCTCCCCCAAAATTAGAAGCTTCTGTAAGGCAAAAGACACAGTGGACAATACCAAATGGCAGCCCACAAACTGGGAAAAGATTTTCACCAATCCTACATCTGACAGAGGGCTGATCTCCAAAATATACAAAGAACTCAAGAAACTAGTCAACAAAACACCAAACAACCCTATTAAAAATGGGGTACAGAACTGAAGAAAGAATTCTCAATAGAGGAAATCAAAAAGGCTGAAAGACACTTAAGAAAGTGCTCCACATCCTTAGCTATCAGGGAAATGCAAATCAAAACAACTTTGAGATATCATCTTACTCCTGCCAGAAAGGCTAAAATTAGAAACACCAATGACAACTCATGCTGGAGAGGATGTGGAGAAAGTGGAACAGTCCTCCACTGCTGGTGGGAGTGCAAACTTGTACAGCCATTTTGGAGATAAGTATGGCGGTTCCTCAGGAAAATGGGAATTAGTTTGCCACAGGACCCGGCAATCCCCCTCTTAGGCATATACCCAAATGATCCACATCCATGCAACAGAGACATGTGTTCAGCTATGTTCATAGCAGCATTATTTGTAATAGCAAGAACCTGGAAGCAACCTAGATGCCCTTCAATTGAAGAATGGATAATGAAGATGTGGCACATCTACACAATGGAATACTACCCTGCAGAAAAAAAAATGGAATCTTGAAATTCACAGGCAAGTGGATGGCACTTGAAGAAGCCATCCTGAATGAGGTAACCTAGTCACAAAAAGAGGAACATGGTATGTACTCGCTCATATATGGATTTTAGACCTAGAGCAAAGGATCACCAGCCTATAATTCACACCACCAGAGGAACTAGGATACAAGGTGTATTCTAAGAGATTCATATAAATTCACTCACAGAAGTGGGAAGGGACAAGTCCCCCAGAGCACAGGGGAAGTGGGGGGAGGCAGTGAATGGAGAGAGAACCTAATTGCTCTTTTCAATTTATGTTTGAGATGGACTTTGCTGTGTTGCTCAAGCTGGACTCAAACTCCCAAGGCTTCAGTGATTCTCCTGCCTCAGCCTCCTGGCTAGTTGGGAAATACACTGTTGCATCATCATGTGTAGCCTTCCTGTGTCTTTGGCTGGCCCCCTTGGCTGTCTGCTTCTGTCAGCTGAGCAGAGGTTTGTCTGTGTCCTTGAGCCTCATACTCCCTTCTGTCCCACATGCACTGAAACCAAAGTTTCCTGTTGTGACATGGCAAATGACCTGGAAACTCTTTCTCAGTAGGCCACTGCTATTTCCACTTAAGAATTATTTATTTAAGCTAGAGTGTGGTGGCACACATCTTAAATCCCAACACTTGGGAAGCAGAGGCAGATGGATCTCTATGAGTTCCAGGCCAGCCTAGCCTACAAAGTGAGTACCAGAACAGCCAGGATTGTTACATGGAGAAGCTCCATCTTGAAAAAGTCCTCCAAATTATTTATGTATTTAATTTGAGTGGTTTATCTTCATGTATGTATGTGTGCATATGTGTGCCTGGTGTCCACAGAGACTAAAAAAGTGCTTTGAATCTTCTGGAACCAGAATTACAGACAGTTGTAAACTGTCATGTGGGTTCTGGGACTTGAACCCCAGTTGCAAGAGCGGCAATTGTGGTTAACCATTAGTCATCTCTCCAGGCCTCTCTTTGCACATTCTAATTATTTGATGTCCCTTTCAGTCTCTCTCTCTCTCTCTCTCTCTCTCTCTCTCTCTCTCTCTCTCTCTCTCTCTCTCTCTCTCTCTCTGTGTGTGTGTGTGTGTTTAATCAGTCAGTGACCCTGAAGCCTACCCTTGGACATCATCCCTGGGGTCACCAATCTCAGGGCTCACCAAACCCTCCAACTTTGTCTCTTGTCCTTCTCTATCCTTCCAACTCACCAACTGGAATTTTACTTATACAGAGTTGGTGCACAACATTCTCTGGTTATTACTACCTGCCAGCACAGCTTCTCCATGAAGGTAGAAGTCCTTTATAATATTTATAATCCTCTAAAATAGTTAACATGATTTCTACCTTCTCTCCCTATTCACAACAGTGAATATTGGCTCATCTTAGGCTCTTGGTTTTGTAACAGCACTTGAGACCTTGCAGGCTTGGGACGTTATCTGTATAAGGAACCGAAACAGTATGGGATTAGGGGGTAAAGCCCAGGACCAGAATTCTGTCTCATATTTAATTTAGCTTTCCCTTAGTTGAGTGACACATTGGGAGATGGCTGCTCCTACCACATGCTTCTTCTTCCATGATGGAAGATGAATTGGGATGAATGCTGTCTGTGTAGGCCAGTGTTTCAGTGGAAGCAGGCTGCATCTTAAGTCCCAGGATGGGGAGTGATCTTACATTTTGTCCCTTAAAAGACATTTGGCAAGGTTTAAAGTTGTTAAAAAATAATCATGCATTTGTAAGCTCTAGTCACAATAACAAACACTGAGATATCAATTTATATAGAGAAAAGGGTTTTAGGGGTCCCAGCCCATCATCAGTTGGCCACAACTGCTTTGGGTCTGTGGTGGTCCATTATGGTGGAGGTATGTGGTGGAGCAACTGCTACCCCAATGGGGAGAAATGAAGAAAGTGAAGGAGAAAAGGGATAAGGTCCCATAGTTCTCATTAAGAGCAAGCTCCAGTGACCTGAAGACCTGAAGGGCCAAACTCTTAACACAATGGTTACCTCCAAGTATCACCCATGCTGAGGACCAAACTTTAACAACATGGGCCTTTGGCAGCCCAGGACAACTCTAGCACAAAACTAGGTGGGTTGCTACTGGCATGTAAAGGGTAAAGGCTGGGGTGGTGCTAAGCATCCTGTAGTGCACATCCCAAGCCCCACTTCACCTCTACAACAATGGATTATCTAGTCCAAAATGTTAATAGTGCTGAAATTGAGAAACCTGACCTAACCAGGCATGGTTGCTCCATTCCTCTTTGTGCAAATATTTGTTACAGTGAGACCATGAAGTTGATTGACTGAAGGGCTGGGGGGGGGTGGTATGGGACAATAGAGCACTAAAACAAGATACAGCAAGTAAAATGGACTTTACCATGACTTGCAAACAGAAGACTTCCTAAGCTGTGTTGCATAACACAGACAATCGAAGCTCAGCCTTTATAACCCCAGCTCAGTCAGCTCATGTGCTCCAAGATAAGGCCACGAGTGCATCCCCCAGTAACTCTTTGTGGACTCATGTGTTTCAGAGATATGACCACAGGCTCTTAAAAACAAGAGCTCTTACAAGAGCTTACAAGCACATGATAATTTTTAAAAACATATTTTTAAGCCTTGCCAAATGTCTCCTAAGGGACAAAATAGCTCTTGGGTTTTTTTTTTTTTTTTTAAACACTGGATAAGACCACTCCCCATCCTGGGACTTAAGATGCAGCCTAATTCCACTGAAATTCTGGCCTACACAGACAAGCTGGCTTTTCTAGATGTCCTCCTAGGTCACATATTCTAACTATTTTCTTTCAAGACCAGCTAAATATTTAGCCTTAAATTTCACGAGCAGCCTTCCATAACTGCCCTCGTGAGGGGCTCATGGGTCCTCTGGTGAATTCCTTTATGTAACAAGTTAAGTGTATTCAACTGTTTTATTTTTTGTGTGCGTGTTCCTGGTTGCTCTTGTCCATGTGCTTTCATTTCACACTGGGCATGGGATACACAGACTTGATGTAATAAGCTTCTGGTGACAGTTCAGGAATGTTCAAAGAGCTTCCCAGAGAGAAAGATACTCTGGGGATTGAAGAAGAGATTTTTAGCAATGATACGTGGATTCTGGATGATAAAAATGGTTTAGGTGGAGGTGAAAGAAAAATGTATCATACAGAAATAAGAATAATATGTCAAGGTCAGAGCCATGGAATCAGAAATGGTATGCTATCCAGGTAGGCAGGAAGGTTCCAGACCTCACATTGGTTAAAATTACCAATGATACTGTCTGTCTTCAATGATGGAATCAAGCATAATAGGGTCAAAGCCTGAATTATATAACTCAGGATCCCTACAGAATTGGGTAAGTATAAGCGAGAAGAAAAGTAGAACATTAAGTTGGTATTCTAGCGCCATCTTGTGTTGAAGATAATGGCATGTATGCTTTTGCAAAACCTCCAAAGTCTAGCAAGAAAATTTTAGTGGCTGCACTTGGAACACATGTATTCCAGAGATCATTTTCAACGCCCTAAGTGACTGTCACTTTTTGCCTGAAAGGTTTCTCCTCTTTGCCTTTTCCTCCCAATCCTACCCCCATATCCCATTCCTTCACTGACCAAATGCTTCCACAAGGTCAAGTTTCTTTCTTTAAATCCATCACTGTATTAAAATCTACATTTATTGAAGTCATGACTCCCATTAGTTCCAGAAAGGAGGTGCTTTATCTGTGGTCTGCTCACCCCAACACCTGAAGTATGTTTGACTCTTTGTAATATTGTGGAAGCACCGCCTGCTGCTTGCTTCATGATTCCTAAAGTTTTGCTATTAGAGGTCTTTTCTACTTGGGCTTGTCTTTACTTAAAGATAACTCCCTTTAGAACTTTTACCAAATGTCTGTTGTATAACCACTTGAAGATCTAGTAGTCAACATCTGATCTTAATTAACCAAAAGGGAACATTTTTAATCTTTCCGGAAATAGTTACATAAAACAAGGATTTTCAGGCGGGGATTATTGCACTCCAAGAGGAAGAAGGCGTACTTTTTCACAGTTCGTTAAGAATCAGTGGCATCCTCTCTTTTCACGCGTGCTACTACAGACATCAAGGCCATCACACCCGAGGGAGAGCCCGGCAGCGGCCTCAACATCCAGATTGGGGATGAAGAAAGACTCCCTCACCATTCTCGTCACGGCTGGTACAGTGTTACCCCGCTGTGCCAACCTCCCGGAGGGGGCGGGGCCTGCATGCGTCTCAGTCGCTAGGCGTTGCGTCATTTCTGCGCGCGGCGGTTCTGGCAACCGCGCGGCTCAGTGCGGGAGGAGGCGGTGGAGCAAGTGAAAGGGGCGCAAGATGAGCGAGGCAGATGGGCTGCGGCAGCGCCGGCCCCTGCGGCCGCAGGTCGTCACGGACGATGGCCAGGCCCCGGAGGTCAAGGAGGGCAGGTAGGCCGAACCTGGACTGGGACCATCCTCTCCGTGGACGGGAATCCTCTTCATTAACCCCACTTTGACGGAGGACCGGGTTCTGACCTACAGGACGCTTCTGCGGGGCGAGGCCTCGCGCGCACCCGGGCTGCCCACTCTCGCGCTGCTGCGGGCCTTCCCCGTCCCTCCTCGCACCCCAGCCGCTGGAGTCATTCCCGACTTGTCCTTGCTGGATCCTCTGTTACTCCTGGGACAGCCGCCTGTCCACCGTCCAGCCTGACACTTTCGCGTTCCCGTTTTCACTTTCCTTGAAGGGGAGCTAGAAAAGTTGCGGGGTCTCTGTCCTGCGAAGATCCTCCTCTGCACCTACTGTAGGTGCAGTCTGTAGTCGTCACCTCGGAGTAGAGAACCGACATGACATTGTTGGCAGTTTTTCTGGTAGTGACAATAGTTACTGACGATTAGTAAAGCTCCAGTTTTGCAGTGTTTAAGAATGCTCTTATTAGCCAAAAGCTGAAGCATGAGCCTTAAACCCTAATATAAGGCATTTAAAATCCACTTCAGTTTTGTGATGTGAATTTTATATTTTGATTTTCTAGGTCAGCCTCCAAGTTGTGGAATTAATTTACGTGCTAGAAATATTGGAAGTATTTACTTGGTCACTAGCAGTGTGATGAGGGGTGTGGTACATACTGGATGATAGACAGTGTTTGCTTCTGATGGTGAGCTTTTCTTTATTGACATATGATAACAAGATGAACACAAAATATGCTTTGGTTTTGGAAAGGAGTTTGTGAAAGAACAGGAAAGTGCTAGTATGGGCCTTGAGTAGGGGGACCAGCCATTATAGGTTGCTGTGAGGTCCCTTTTTCTAGGACTCACCTTGCTAAATGTGGGTAGGTTTGGAACAAATTGTTCATCCTGCTTGTTGTGGCTATTGTGAATAATTACTAATGGCTGGCGAGTCTTTAGGATGGATAGGCAAGGAGTGGCCCAGTCTGACAGCAGAAACTAGGAGACCTGGGAAAAAGGATGGAGCAGTAGAGGGCTCTACTCAGTGCAGTGTTTTGAAGCCTGGGGCATCCTTGGTACATGGGCCCAACATTTAGAACAGCTGCTGTGACACTTCTGATCCCTAGGCAAAGGAACTTTTTTTTTTTTTTGGGTTCTCTGTGGGATTTCCTCCTTAAAGACTACAAATTAGATCCAAAATTGTCTCCTTCCACCTGATCTTTTCCAGTATTTTACGTCTGTGCTTACACTGTTTTGACTTTGCTGTTTGTAAATGTTTCTTACTGCCTTCTATCTTTGTTTAGTGATCTGTAGTGGTTGTTCCTAAAGTGAGTTCTTGTCACCCACCTTCCTTTCTACACTTAGAATTATAATATTCCTACTTGTCTTTTTCATCAGCACTTTAATTTGTTTGTTTGGTTTTTTTTGGTAGTAATTTCTAGGAGTTTGTCCATTTATCTTCTTGATTATCATAAGGGTCTAAGGTTGAGTGTGAGTCAGGAAAGTTTTTGTGGAGTAAAGAAATCTGAAAGGTCCTGTGTTTGACCTTCAGTGCAGAAAATAAAGAAAGCAAGGAATCTGAAGAAAGTATAAACAAACAAAAAGTTAGAGTAAACTTTTAGACTTGCCAAAACCTGTAAGCCTAACACAAAAGTTATGAACGCTTAAAACATTGAGATATCTTTCCTTTTTAAAAAAAGTTTGATTACACAGTTGAGTGAATTTTGTAGATGACAATGGGGGATTGCAATGTCAGAATGTTAGACATACCTCAGAATGGAGCAGTGGATTATTGGGTTTTCAGAACAGAAGAAGGAAAACAGATTTTAATAGTGGAAGGGCCCTTAGCAGTACTTTGGAAAGTTTCCCGATTTGCAGGAAAAGCAGCATACACTCTTGTTTGACTGGAGAGATTATGGAGGTCGCTGTGAGTTAGATGGTTTGACTAAAAAAATGAGTTGAAAATAAATGAAGGCTGGAACTGGCAGCTGGACTGTGATTGAGAATCGTCTTTCAGAATTATGCTTTGAAAGTGAGCTTTGGTGGTAGAGCTTCTGGATGTCTGAATGAACTACATAGCAGAATTTCACTGTTCAATCCTTTTATTCAATGTGGGACACAGATGAGTGGGGCATTTACTTACCATGGCACTGCCCTTTAGAGTCACTGTTTGACATTGGTTTCCCACATGCTTCAGGAACTTTATTCAAAGAGTAATCCTTGCACTATGAACTACCTTTTGAAACACCCTTCTGTGTAGGAAGAGAAGGCTTTAGTTTTTAATGTATGTAACTATTTAGAAGTGAAGGATTGAGGATTTGACAGCAGTGTTTTCAGTAAGCTTCAGAAGGCTTTTATAGTAAAGGTATCTGTCAGGTCTAATTTCTGTTTTCCAGTTTAAGACGGAGAAGCAGAAAGCTGGAATTATGATGTTTTCATCTAAGACTTCAAGAGGGTCTGCTAACTTATTCTTCTTTAATTGCTCAAGTGAGACATTAATTTTTTTTTCAGAATAAAGATGGTTCTAGGAGGAAAGAATGTGAAAAGTGAGCAGATTTGTGGTTTCATCACTTTAAAAGAGGAATCTTGTTGCTCTTTGGCTTTTATGCTTTCTTGGCACCCAAGGTCCACCAGGGATTTGGAACCCATAGATTGTTTTTCTTACAGAGTTCACAGTTCATTCTTGGTGTCTTTTTATCTGATTCAAGGCCCTGTGGTCTGGTGTGCAAATACAGAGAGAGTTGGAGAATACCCTTCAAATTTGGCTGGTGAAATGGCGGAGGATTTTGTAAGTTGTCAAAACGGGTTGCATCACTGTGATTGTGCCCTTTCCCATAGAGACTACAGGCAATTCAAGATGTGCATGTCCTCAAGGGAGTAAGCTTTGCCCGAGGCTCTTCTTAAGAGATTTGAACAAACAAGTAGGTTACTCAGGCTGCATCTGGGAAGTAACTTGATAGCCTCTGTGGTGTTTTTTGTAAGCGAAAATATAGGTGAAGGTGTAGTTCTTTCTTTACGCTAAAATTATGTGGGTGCTAACATGGAGAAAACATGGAGGGCTTGAAGTGGACTGTGAATTCCCAGGATCAGTAGTGAGGAGTTAATCTTAGGCTAAAATAAGTGTGTGCAAAATAAGAGTGCAAGAGCAGCTTGCCTCATGTATGTGACAAGCCCTCTCCATTGCAAGTGCTTAGTAGCTACATGTAGTTAATGTCTACTTTATTTTCACCATCATGGGAGATTCTACTGGACAGTGGTGCTCAGAGTTTCATAAAACTTTACCAGCAAAATTACCAGTAGAAGCTGGATCCTGAAGTTCAGGAGGAAACTGGGTAAGATTAATGGTGTCCAGCTGTTCATCAGGAATAACCGATGGGGAAAATGGATTACCAGGCCCACTCTGGATCCATAGACCAGAATCTCCAGGCATTGTTTAAAGCTGTGAATGTGCCAGGTGCATGCCTTTAATCCCAGCAATCTGGAGGCAGAAGCAGGTGAATCTCTTGCATGTGAGGCTAGTTTGGTCTATCTACTGTGTTCCAGGACAGCCAGAGCTGTGTAATAGAGGAACCCTGTCTCAAAACAAACAACAAAACAAAAACCCCCAAACCAAACCAAACCAAACCAAACAAACAAAACAGTTAACATTGTCTGATGGAGGAGGTTCAATTGGAAGCACCCAGCTGGGGGCTTCTAACTTCTTTCCCAGCTTTGATCCTATTAACTGTAAGAGACTAGTAGTACTAGATCCCAGCAAGTCTTGTCAGGGGCCAGTGATGTCACTCAGTGATAAGAGTTGGCGTGATGTGTAAGAGGCCCTAAGTTCCATCATCAGGATCACAGAAAGAAAATAATAGAAGGTGCTTGCCCAGATCCTGACAAGATGGGAGATGTGGGATTCCCACTGCATGTCATCTCAGGAATTTTGGTTACCTTTCCAGCTATAAACACTTGTGTTAAGTCCTGGCTGAACTTACTTTGCACACAATTGAACCTTTTACCATAATGTGAAGGGACAGTGACCCAAGTAGAGTGTCACATACTCTGATTCAGATCACTAAGTTTTGAAATGTAAGATACAGGGCTGGAAATGTACCTTAATGGGACAGTGCATGCTTAGCATGTGCATGGCTCTGGGTTCTATTCCTAACAGCCCTCTTCCCATGTAAGTAGCACTGCAGTAAAGGAGAGTGTGTGTAAGTCTGACACAGATTATGAGAATTTGTTTTGTTGGGTGATGAAAAAAGAAAATTCTACTTTGGTTGGATATTTTTTCTTGTTTGTTTTGGCTAATGATAACCGACACCACAGGTCTGGGATTATAGTGTTCTTCTGCTGGTTCTGATAAAGTAGAGGATTGCATTAGTGTCCTGTAAAGGACAAGAATATCCTGGTTGGGGCCAGGCAGTGGTGGCACATGCCTCTAATCTCAGCACTCAGGAGGCAGAGGCAGGCTGATCTCGGTGAGTTCGAGGCCAGCCTGGTCTACAGAGTTAGTTCCAGCACAGGCTCCAAAGCCACAGAGAGAAACCCTGTCTCAACAAATAAAAACAAACAAAAAAACCAAAACAACAACAACAACCTCCCCCAAGTCTCACAAACAAAACAACAACAACAAAAAGAATATCCTGGTTGCACTGAAGAATGTTCCCTGGGTACTTTGAATATGTGTGTCTCTCTTTGGGACTCTTGTTTTTAAACAACAATTTTCCTATCGTTGGTACTTGTAACTAACCCAGCTGTTTTGGACAGATACCTCTCAATTTCTATTGTGGTAAATAGCTTTAGGCCACTTCAAGAAAATCAACTTTGTACAGTGACATGGTGTGGATTCTGCATAGAGAAGTCATTGACTTTTAGTTTCTTTTCCTTTAGTGGAGACAAATCACAGAGTTTATTTAAACATCTTCAATTTAGTGTTGTTTGTTTTGTAAAGTGATGAAGTTTTGCAATAATTTGCCACTGTATAAATTTAGATTTTTTTGTTGTTGTTGTTGAGATGTAACTCATGTAACACACGTTACCATTTTAATGTGTGTAACTCAGTGGATTTACAATGATTGTAGTGTTGGTCAGTTACTTTCATTATCCCATTAGGACACCTTTTATCCTGTAAGTAATCATAGTTACACTATGTGAAAGAAACCATTTCCCCATACACATGATGTCTGTAAGTAAGTGGATGAGTAGCTAAACATATTTGGTGCTCCCTCTCTTTCTCTCTCTCTCTCTTATACCAGTAAAAACCAATAAAAGGAGTAATACTGATATTGTTTATCATGAATACATGAATGAACCTGAAAGATTGTATGCCAAGTAATAGAAGTTCTTCCTTTTCCCTGGTGGGCAGCACAGAGGCTCTATGGTGCCTGGTGTTACTCTAAAAGAGATAAACCAGCAGGAGTTCATCAGACCTCTGGTAGCCTTCCTCAAAAGGTCTGGGAGGCTGAAAGTCACTGAATGAGTGGGCACAGGCATTCTGACCAAACATAAAGATCATGCCCTGAGAACTGGTTTTACACAGAAGGTGCTTGCCAAGATCTGTGGAGGACTTAAGAGAAATAGCATCAGGCTCAGCCACATCAGAAGAGGCTTCAAGAATGTGGCCTGGAGGGGCTGAAAATGGTGGGAAAGAACCAACACCCCAGAACTAAGAGATTTGTACAGAATTGTTGGACAAGTGGCAGCTGCTAACAAGAAATAGTAGAACAGAGGGTTTTGGGTTAAAGTTGCCTCATTGCAGATCAGGGAGAAAGGCTAGTTGCTAAAAGTCACATGTGTGGTTACATTGAAGAGACATAGCACCATGAGCTTTTACAGTTTTTTTTTTTTTTTTGAAACCCTGAGATCTGTGGGTCCAGGCATCTTCCCTCTCTGTTAATTGGTAATGGTGAGAGCAGGCATCATGTCCTTCCAGTTCTGCTGATGTCCAGTTTGGGCAGTGGGCATTGCCTGTCAGAACCAAGACCTCTCTCCAACTCCTTCCTCAAATCTGTTCTGTTAGATATGACTTCTCATTTCTTTTTCTTTATGTCTACATTGATGGATAGAAACTTTCCTCTAAGGTCATGATTTTAGATTTTTAAAAATTTGTGTGTATGTAAATGTGTGAATATGAGTGTAGGCGTGTAGGCATCCATGCCACAGTGTGTATATAGTTCTCTCTTTCTGCCATGTGGGTTCTGGGGATTGAACTCAACATTATCAGCCTTGGCAGAAAATCCTTTATCCACTATATTGCCATACCTCTCATGTTAATCTTGATGTCAAGTGTTTAGTAAAATTACAATATAATGTTTATAAGCAAATAATGAATCTATGAGGTCTATGTAGGAAGAGGCTAAAGACTGTCAACTTTTAAAAAGCCAGATAAGTATGATAATGTGTGTCTATCATTCCTGTCATTTGTCTGAAAGCTACCCAGATCCCAACAGTACCTCTTAGACTGGTAAAGCTTTTTGGAATTTTAAGTGCAGAATCTATGTGAATTCCCTAAGAACATTTGTCAAATTCCACCAAAGGAAGAGCACAGATTTCCTTTGATTCCTAAATGAGGAGTTGTAAAGTGTTTGAGAGATTAGGGGCTCAGAGAGTTGGCAGGACTCCTTCATGAAAATATCAATCCACACACCCCTTTGCTCATCCTCTCTGTAGATGAGTATGGGAATATGTCCATCACATCATTGCATGTCTTTCAGTCTGTCGTTTGAGTTAGAATCTTGGAATATAGTACAGGCTGGCCTTAAACTTATAATACTCCTTCATCAGACTTGTAAGTGCTGGGGTTACAGTTTGTGAGCTGCAACCTGGCTCTCCCATTACATTTTGTATTTATAAGTTGAGTTTTTCCTTTGAAATTCTGTTAGAAGAAAGACTATTTGGAGTATGACTGACCCAAGTATTTCACACAGCTGCAAGATTTTACACAAATAGTAGTGTCTGCCAAGATTGACAAACTGCTAAAGTTTAACCATGAATCACAAAGCCAGTGACCTTGCAGTGGGGAGACTTGGTGAGCTGAGAAACTGGGTGAGCAGTTGCACTTCAGAGTAGGCCTCCAGAGCAGACAGGTCTGTCACTGTGTGGCTGTGCTGACTGCCATTCTGTTTTATTTCTGGCAGCTCCTTTAGTGGCAGAGTTTTCCGAATGACATTCTTGATGTTGGCTGTGTCCCTTGTCATTCCACTGCTTGGAGCCATGATGCTGTTGGAGTCCCCCATAGATCCTCAAATTCTCAGGTAAGTACACAGCAGTTTTGAGAAGGGTTCCCGCACCAAGTGAGGGAGTGTGATGGAATCGGTGTGGTCTGGAACTTGGTTATGAGTAGGGGAGCTCTATTTCTTTAGCACATGAGTTTCATGTTGAGTTAGATATAACTGAATACATGTGAAATTTCCCCTGCCACTGTGGCAGAAACCAGCTATAAAAATCAGAATAAAAGTAGCTTAAGCATTAGAAATAACTGACACTAGTTCATTTGAAGTAGCAGAAACTTATGTAACTTTTGTTAAGATCTATAATCAGTATTCTGTTTTTGCTGAGTTATAATTCACCAGTGGAGGTCTGCGAGGAATTAGTCTGTTGTAACTTGAAAACCTCTTAACATGTAGTCATTGGTGTTTGCTGATACTGAACTTGGGCTGGTTGGAGAAGGGTTGTGTGGTTTGACCTGGAGAGTAAGGGAAGGAGGTAGGTTGAGATTTTTGTGAAGAAGCTGAGCTCTTTCAACTCCTTAGCCTCTAATTTCCTAATTGTTTTATCTCCTACCTTTAGAAGTCAAAGGAAATCCTAGCTCTTCTATTTGGTTGAGAAAGTTTGACAAATTCACATAGGGGATTCACACAGAGTCTGCAATAGCAAAACTCCAAGTCATCATGCTGTAGTGTGAAGTTTTACTCTTTACTCTTTGGCTTTTTTGATGGGCCCGCCACCCAACTCCCAAATAAATCACACATGGAAGCTTATTATTAGCTATGAATGCCCAGCCTTAGCTTGGCTTGTTTCTTAAATTATCCCATCTATTTTTGACCTCAGGGCCTTTATCTTTCTCTATTCCTGTATACCTTTCTTTTCTTCTTACTCTGTGTCTGGCTGTGTACCTGGGTGGCTGGCCCCTGAAGTTTTTCTTCCTCTCTTGTTCCCAGATCCCCTTTCTCCTAGATTTTTCTTCATCTTACTCCTCCCTGCCTGCCAGCCTTGCCTGTTCCTCTTTCTTGCCTTGGTATTGGCCATTCAATTCCTCATTGACCATCAGGTGTTTTAGACAGGCACAGTAACACCGCTTCACAGAGTTAAACAAGTACAACATAAACAAAGTCACATACCTTAAAATAATGTTTCTCAACATCATGCCAAAAGCCTTTGAAGATTCCTGGTTCCCCTTGGAAATACTAGTGGGAGTGCAGCCATCTGAAGTTTATTTTAGATGAGTTAGTACTTACTTCATGTAAAACTTTAAGGACTTCATTGTCTAACTATGGAACAAAGATACTATATACAACTGAATAATGTGTTGCTGTTTTATGTATAAAAATTTAGATGTTATATTGGATTCCATTCACTAAGAATGTGTTCAGCAGCTAAGGTAGGTGTCTAGCAGATTTCGGAGATGAGGGAAGGCATTGTACTGATCCTAATTGGACATGTGGGCAAGAGTCACCTTGTTTGTTGGATTTAGAATTACTAAACTTTAGTAACTAAACAGTTTGGGAGATATGAATAGAGTATTTGCCTAGCAAGTGCAGAGACCCTCAATTTGAACCCCAATACTGTAAAAAACCCAAAACCTAAAAAAATCACTGACTACAAATAAAGGTGCATAGTGCTGTGGAAATGGGATTAGCATGCATCTTACTGTCCATAGGGAATGCTGGCCTAGTCAGCTTGAGGGGTTGGTTTTAATTATCCATATGACAGTGGGTATTCTTTCACACTTCCTGAGCCTCAGGCATGAGGACATCTGGTAGTCTTCTTAGAGAGCTCCCCCTCCTTTTCTTCTTCTTCCTCCTCCTCCTCTCCTTCCTCCTTTTTTCTTTTTGAATCAGGGTTTCTCTGTGTAACAGTCCTAGCTGTCTTGGAACTAGTTCTGTAGACAAGGCTGACCTCAAACTCACAGAGATCTGCCTAGCTCTGCCTCCAGAGTGCTGGGACTAAAGGCATGTGCCACCACCACCCAGCCAGAGGCCCTTCTTAAGATGTAGAAAACTGTCTCCCAGCCTTGTACTCCCAGCAGAACTGACTTAGGCCTCCTTGAATAAGACAGGGAAGTAAACAGTGTACATAGCTGGTGATCAGAAGCCAGGTTAGATCCAGCCTTGTCAAGGATAAAGATGTGAGGTTGGGGTTGACTGAAATCCTTTGGTCTCAGGGAAGACCAGTTTGTGTGTGGAAAAAATGGTGATGAAACTTAGCTGAAAAGGGGTGTGTGACCATGGCAAACAGAAAAACAGCTCAGTGAGGGTTTGAAGTTGTACACAGTGAGCACTGGTTGCTATAGGGGAACCTGATTAGGCAAGAAGGATTAAGATGTGATTAAGTATATTTTTAAATGCCTAGAAACACCCATATCCTTCTATGGAAAACAGGCCCACTGAAGAGCTGACAGAGCCAACGAAGGGGTTTTAATACACTTGATACCAGAGGAAAGAGCAAAACATGATTCTGGCTGAAAAACTGGAACAAAAAAAAATAATAAATGAACATAAAGGTACAGCCACAGACTTAGCAATGGTGCACTAGTGTCACTGGCTTTGACTTTAATGGGTTGTGGCCTGGGCTAGTCAGATGAGGCCCTAAGATACTGTCTGATTTGGGCTTCCTGGTGGCTGTCCTTTGCTGCAAACTACTGCCATGGGGACCTCGCTTGCCTGCACTTGCCTTTTTGCATACAAGTCTGCCTGTCCATGCTCCCCTCACTTTTTGAGGCAAGGTCTCCCTTTGTAGCCAAGGTTGGCCTCAAGCTTTTGGCAGTCTTCCAGCTTTAACCTTCTGAGTGCTGCGATGATAGGCATGAGCTACAATGCCTGGCTTTCAATTTTCTTGTTATTTCTCAACTAAGATTGTCCTCAGGCTGTTTGTGGGCAGGGATAAACACACAAAGGCTTTTTGAGAACTTCCTGAGTGGAAGGACTTAAGCCAGGTGGGGAGGGTTGAGCGTCTCTGTTCTTGACTTTATGCTCAAACATGGTTTGCTTTGCAAGCTCAGCTTGGTGGTTGGGACCTATCAGGGTCAGAACTGAACTCCTTGGCCAAAGCAGGCAGGCTACTTCCTGCCTCCTCCTTTGGCACTGAAACTTCCTAGTTAAGCTGGAAGGGATTGTCTTTGTGGTTGGTGGATAGCCATGGTTGAGAGCCAGGGCAGAGGGAGGAGAGACAGTTTAATATGGGTGTGGTGCTGACTCAGGAGTGGCAACAGAGAGTAAAGTACAATGTTGTGAACTGAGAGGTAGGCAGAATAGAGAGTATTTTATTCCCCACATTCTCTTAGTCCCTTCTCCTCTCCTCCACTGGTGAGTAGGCCAGGAAACGGCCTCGCTGAATGACAAGGTCTCATGGAGGATGGGAAATAATTTTCCTCCTCCTTACCAGTGTGTATTGGGAATTCCCTGCCTTCCAGGTTCTTGAGATGTAGTAGAGGGAAGCAGGAAGGAACTCCTGGTCCACACAACATCCCTTCTAGTGGGACCAGAGAGGCTAACACACCAGAAAAGCAAATTCAAAAGTACATGGGATGATACGTGCAGTGGAAAAATTAGAGCAAGTATGGGGCCGAGCCCAGGGAGGTGGCAAATTTTAAATTGGGTTCTAAGGGTAGGCTTCACCAAGGAAGAAAGAGGAGTTTATGTGAGAGTTAATGTTAAGGAACAAAGATACCTGGTGCTCAAGACCCACCAAAGAAAGGGTATGGGGAACAGAAGAAGCAAGGTCACCGGTGACAGGGCCAGATCGGGCAGCATAAGAAGTCACCCCAAGGACTGGTTTCTGACTGAGATGGTGCAGTTGCAAGGATCAGCAGACAAATGTTGTGATGTGAAGTGGGCTGCTTGATTGAGAATAGACTGTAGGGATGAGGAAGCAGAGGGGAGAAGATACTGGCCAGGGAAGAGTGACAGCAGAGGACCTGGGAGGAAGGTTCAGTCATATCTCTTTAAAGGTGGCCTCAGCAGTAGCTGGGAGCTATGGCACTTTTGCTTGTGGATGGGAATGAGTTTGGAGGAAAGTTTCTGGAGTTCCTCTGGGAGGGGAACATGGTCTGGGACTCAGCAGAGTGCACCTGTGTGAGGCCATGAGCACTGGATGTTGTTCCCATGGCTGGCTGCCTCCCTTCCCTTGCACATGAAGCAGGTGGTCAGCTGTGGAAGGTAGATGGAGCTCTCCCCATGTCGGGCAGACAGTACTAGCTATGGGTACTAGCTACAGGGCTGTCTGTATCAGAGGGTGGGAAGAGGTCTAACTGTCCTGAGGTCCAGGATGATGATGAGATTCTTGGGGTGTCTGGGGTATGGAGACATGCAATATTTGTATTTTCATAATTATTTCCTACTGTGGTCTTTTCTGATATCCTTGAATTTTCCCTCTCAACCTTTATTTTCTGGCATTCAAGGATGTATTGGGAATGTATTCTTTATGTCAGAACAGGGAAATAGACATGCCGTGGGTCTCCAGGAAATGTTTTCCTTCATGGATATTTTTATACACAAATCCTTGCAATTGTATTGTGTTACAGCTTCAAAGAACCCCCTTTCATGTTTGGCGTTCTGCAACCAAATACAAAGTTGCGACAAGCGGAAAGGCTATTTGAAAATCAACTTAGTGGGCCAGAGTCCATGGTAAATATCGGGGGTAAGTAAACTGGGATCTGTAGAATGCACGTGGCTGATTTCCAGGCTGCTGTTACTCAGGGTGGGTAGGTTCTGTGGGAGCAGCTGCAGTGGCACACAGCCCCCAGGTAGGGGAGCTCTGGGCTTGTGTCTCAGTTGTGGACATCTCAAGGGAGCAGCTCTCTCTTCTTTCTGCCTGGTTTGCACCCCAATTTTGAATGTTTTATTTTGTTTTCAAGACACAGTGTCTCTAAGTAGCCCTGGCTATCCTGGAACTTGTTCTGTAGACCGGGCCTCGAACTCAGAGAGCTGCCTGCCTCTGCCCTCTGAGTGCTAGGATTAAAGGTGCACACTACCGTGCTAGGCTACATGGGGTGAGTTTGAGTTAATTTCCACAGAACACTTTCTTGTGCTCTATTGTGAGGAGGCAAAAGGGAAATGCAGACACTGACATCGAGTTCATTCTCAGTATTTCCACTGAACCCATCCATTTCAGGATGGGATTCTGAAAACAAGAATTGGGCCTGATAATGAATTAGACTCTAGCAGTAGGGTTTTTTTTTTTTTTTTGGTCAGGATGAGAATTAAGCTTAGTATTGAAAGGACATAGTTAATGAGATGAGGATACTTGGTGTGAAGATTTCTGAGTAGCAGCTTTGAAATGCTTCAGCCCTGCATCCATTACATTACCTGGGCAGTGGCTATAGACCTTGTGCATGTGCATCTTTGTTTAGTTTCTAGGCCGGCCAGGGCCATTGCTGCACACGTTTGATAAACTCTTGTCCTGCCCCTGCTTTTCCATTGAGGCCCAAAGACTGCCCATCTCTGCAGTTGTTACCTTGTTATATCACTGGTAAACTTTTTTACTTTTCCTCCTTCAATAAGAGTAAATACTTCCTGGTAGAATTTAGTTTCTCTGAAAAGGTCTTGGCATTTGTTAGTAAGTTCATCAGTTCTGGTGACATGCCATACACTGTGGCTTCTTCTGGGACTTCTAAGTGTTGCTTGGTGGCCTTCGCTGCCTTAGTGAGTGTACCTGTTCTACCTTCTCCCTTTTCTTCTTTTAAGGAGCTGTGTGTACTGAGTGTCATTTCTGGTGTGGACCCAAGGGGACCTCTCTGCTTCTATTCTTGTGGATGTGAGCTACAAGTTGGCACCCAGATACCTGCTGTTGCTGCAGCAGCTCCGCTTAGAGGGTACCCTGAGGGAGACTGGCAGGTGCTGACTGCCTCAGAATAGTTGCTAGAGGAGAGCAACCACCAATTAACATTCTATGTCTGCTTTTAAATGATCCATTTTAAAAAATGTTTTTCAGCAATTATTTCACTAACATCCACCTTTGTAGCAGGAATAATGCAGAGATTCTTTCTAGACAGTGAATTTTGCATTGCTTACAAATAGGAATCCAAGGTGAACCTTGGGAGTTATTTAACCTCAAAGTTTATATTTTAAATACATTTTATCACCGCCTACATAGCCTCATTCTAGACATAGAGTTTAGCATTTTTGCAGGCTTAACTAAATATTGAGCTAGGCACATCCTGTTCTTGCAGCACTTACGTCTTATCTCATTCTCTCTATAAAGGGCAGACTTTGATAAGGCATTCTTTTCCCATCCCACCGTACCATTCTTCTTCTACCAGTGAAAGCTTCTGTGTATGGTGAAGGTGGAACTATCCAACCCATATTTTGCACTTCAGTTTTTCCTTTTGGAGTATACTAGATCCTACCATTGATTCTATATGCTGGGTGTTCAGGGAACTTAACCTCAACAGTTGGTAATATGTGTCTCCCTGAGACCTTCCTCCTTTTCTGCATATATATTGCCTTAATCTCTTTCCCAGAACTATGAGACATGGTTAATGTTCCAGGTGTTGTTTTCTTATATGTACCCATTATTTCCTGCCAGTACTGTTCTATGTATGAGTCCCTTTCTCCACAAGGGGGTGTTATCTACCTTTTCCTTAGAACAATTATAACAGTATGACCCATTGATTTAACTTCCTCTATTGAGTCAGAAAAGTTCCCAGTATTAGGAATTGCAGTTAGTAATTCCAGATAAGAAATTTGAGAAGTATTAGTCCCCTGTTAAATCTTAGGGGAAAATATTTGGGAAAGAACAGAATTTCCAAAGAAAATTGCAGCTATCTAATGTGTAACTGACAAAACGAAACTAAAAGCCACCAAAAGAATCAACAACATAATGAAAGAGAAAAGAGCCCTCAATCCATGTGAATCTAGCAGTGTCCTATGCTTCTCCAGGTCCACTGGTCCTTGCAGAGTGTGAAATTATCTCCTTGGGTCTTGCCTCAGGGAAACCCAGAAGGCAAGCATTCACACACTGGTCAAGACTAGGGTGCATGGCTTCTGACATTTATAAAATCTACTTTGTTTACTCTCTGTCATAGATGTTCAAAATGGCTTCAGTTTTGTATGTTGTTATTCTTTAATAATTGCAAACACACACACACACACACACACACATCGTTTTGTTGTCTTTTTACATCTTTTTGTTTGTGTTTTTATTATTTATTTTTAAAATGGCCCAATGAGCTTAACTATGGTTGCTTGCAAAATGTTTGGGTGGGAGAGCATGGGCAGCATAACAGGCTTGTATCGCTGAAGAAAACTACTCCCCTCCCTCAGCAGTCACTAATTGCAGTATTTCCTCAGGGAGTTACCCATGACTCCCTCCCTAGTCCATGGTGAAATGTTGACAGGCCCCATCTTGTGCAGGTAACCGTAGCTTCTAAGTTGATGAAGTAACAGTCATGCCACATGCAGAAGAAAGCATTTCACAGCATCCTTCCCCATCCTGTGGCTTTTATGTTCTTTCTGTCCCTTCTTCTGGCATGTTTCCTGAGTGTTGGATGGGGTGATATGAAGTCTATTGAGCAGTCATGTATCCTCAGCAGTTTGATCTGTAGAGTCTGTATTAGTCATCACCCACTGCAAAGGGAAGCTCCAACCAAGGCTGAGGGCATCACTAATATATGTGTATAAATGACATTTAGAAGGCAGTTTAACAGCATTTCTGTTTAGCAAAATAACAGGAAGTTCACCTCTAGGACCTATGAATAGCTCCTCAGCCTTGGGCTTTTGACCAGAGTAAACTATTTTTAAAATCTGTTTTAGGCTTACAATAATGAAACAAAAAGTAGAGATTTTATGAGAATGGGTGTTGGGTTCAGCACATAGGTTTAGCCTTTCTACTGTTGCCATCTCCCACCATAGTTGGGTTTTTATTTCCTCTGTCTGTTTTAATTAAGGCTCACTCTTGGCATTGTGAACTCTGTGGATTTGGAACTTTCATAATGCCATCATAGAGGATATTTTCACTGTCCTAAAATTCACCTGTGTTCTCCTTCCCTTTTTAACTCTCATCTACTAGTGACTTTTAAATTTCTGCACTGTTTGCCCTTTCCAGATGTGGCATTAGAATCATACAGTCTCTTCAGGTTGCCTCTTGCAGCTGTTTGTGAGATACTGGTCTGTAGTTTCTCTTAATGTCTTCATTAGGGCAATGCAGAAATTATAATTCATAGAATGAGTTAAGAGGTGTTATTTCAGCTGTGACCTTCTGAAGCAAATTTTTGAGATTTGACTATAATTTCTTAAGGGAGAATTCACCAGTGAGCCAGCTGGTTGGGGGTGATGCTTTCTGTCTTGCAAGATTGTAATTATTTATTCGGTTTCTTTAATACACACAGGTCTGTTAATATAGCCTATGTACAGACTTTGGACAGTCTTGGACAATTGTATGCTTTGAGGGAGATCCCATAGTTTTGTTACTTTATTTTCCCTCCCAAGACAGGGTTTCTCTGTGTAGCTTTGGAGCCTGCCCTGGGCCTTGCTCTGTAAACCATCCTGGCCTTGAACTCACAGAGATCCTTTTGCCTTTGCCTCCTGAATGCTGGGATCAAGGCATGTGCCACCACTCCCTGGCTTATTAGTTTAAATTTTAAGGATTTAAAAATTTACCATACATAATTCCCCCATCATCTTCAGAATTGCTGTTTCCTTTTTGGCTGTTAAAATATAACCAAACTGCTTACCTTATAGAAGAAACAGTGTGGTCATAGCTCTAAGACCAATCCTTTAATGATCTTTTCCCTTTTTGTTTTCTTAAACAGATGTGATATTTACTGGTACAGCGGATGGCAGAGTTGTAAAACTTGAAAATGGGGAAATAGAGACCATCGCCCGGTTTGGTTCAGGCCCTTGCAGTAAGTTGGTAACATCACTCAGAAAGTTGTCACTTTCCCCTAGATGTCACTTTCACTGTTGGAGAATTGCTGATCATTTGGCAGACTGGACACACTGTGGTGTCACCTCAATTTTTTATTGCCTTCTGGTCATTTGGCTTTGGAGTGCCCAGTAGAGCCTGTGGTAGTCACACTGATGTCCTAGTTTTCCAGTCGGGCATTGGTCATGTACCTGCTGAGTATTTCCTGGTGCTGTATCCCCTCATCTTCCCATTCAGTCTCTGGTTGCCCCATGGGAACTTCAGCTATCAATCGCTGTGGGTGTGGGTGCTGCTTTATATAAAGGCAGGGGCTTTGTGACTGTCTGGGGCTTATATGTGATTCCTTAGTAGCTCCTCAGGGATTTCAGTTGTGTTACTCAAGTCTGAGAAGCCTTAAATCATTTAGACTTTGGAAGCATGAGCAGACAATTGCACTGCTTAAAAACTAATCAACAGGATTCTTACCATTATTCTATTAACTTATTATAAATTTTATTTATTTATTTATATTTATTTATTTATTTATTGTGGTATTCTGGATGAAATCCAGGGCCTTCTGATTACCAAGCAAGTGTTCTACCACTACAATTTATGGCCTAGTTATCATTTTTATTAGCTGGGATGTTTTATAAAAAATATACATTTTTATTTCAAAATAAAAGCAACATAAACATACAGAATCAAAATAAAAATTACTAGGGTCTTCTGAAAAGTACTGTCCAACATTTGAATGAGTCCCTGGATACCCATGCTCATACTCTGTATTTGCTTCAGTCTGCCCTTTCTCCTCCACACATAACACCCGCACTCAGCCCCTACACTGAGCACTGGACAGTAAGCATCCCTTGTGGTGCAGTAACACTTGCAGTAAGTATCTTATAGCTCGCTCATTCTGTAAGTATATGGTGTGGTAGCATCCACAGTAAGCATCCCTGTTGATCCTCTACAGAGGGGCGGGTCTGTGATCTTCTTGCTCTGTACAGCATGGTGTCTGTTTAGGGAGGTGTGGAAGAGATACTTGGACACTGAAGAGGGCACAGGTAGACTCTTGAAGTGGCCACTCATTCCTGTTGTGTATCTTCCTATCTTCCTAGAAACCCGAGATGATGAACCTACCTGTGGGAGACCCCTGGGCATCCGGGCAGGGCCCAATGGAACTCTCTTTGTGGTTGATGCGTACAAGGGATTATTTGAAGTAAATCCTCAGAAACGTATGTACAACTTATTTCTTTGATATTTTCAGCTCTTTCAAACAGTATACACATAAAACATATTTAATAAGATTTTTAAAATATACTCTACAGGCAACTACAGTGTCTTCTTACTAAATAACAGCACAAGTATTGCCACTCGTGTTGGCCACCAGAGAACTTTCTGAGCCGCCTTGGTCCCTGCCCAGTTTTTCTCTGCATCTGTGTTTTAGCCACTGGCTCTCAGAAGGATTGTGTTGTAAACATTTGTTCCTCATCCTCCTGTGTGAGAATCCTTTTTTGTTTTTTCCCCTTAGACAGTTCTACTCCTTTCTCTCTCATCACTGAACATGATATTACCAGAACTGGTATTATAATATGTGCTGAGTGCTCTCTCCATGGAGGACATAGCATGTAAGATCTATGCGTGGGGCTTGGCCAATGGGCACTACAGCCTGTCCTCTGCTTTCTGGTGGTTATGACTAGGGAGGACATATAGCCTCTCTGTTCCTATTTTTCCACATAGTAGGGAAGATTAATAGTGAACCTTACTTGTAGATTCTTGCACAGGGGTAAATAATAATGTATCTAGAGAGCTTGGCACTCAATATATGTCCTTTCTTTTATTAGAGTTTTGAGCTTGGGGGAAGGGGAAGGTGGTGCTTCATTGTATTGCCCATTCAAGCTCTCCTCCAACCTCTACCTCTCCTACCTAGGACAGTAATGTGTTCTTCACTCCTGACTAGTTTTAAAAACTTGGTATTGTTGCTACTTAATATAAAAGCAGATGAATGGAATCTATAATTTTTTTTCTCTCCAGCAACAAATAGTACTAGATTTTTATTGTGTATTGATCTTAATATTTTTTTTTAAGTTTGTTTATTTCAATAAAAAAAAAAATGTGCTCTTCACCTTTATAAATCTGCCTTTGGTAAAAGTTTAGTCTAAAAAAACAAGATTTTTGCCCAGCACTCTGGAGGCAGACGCAGGCAGATCTCTGTGAGTTGAGGCTAGCCTGGTCTACAGAGTGAGTTCTAGGATAACCTCCAAAACAATACAGAGAAACTCTATCTCAACACCCCCCCCAATCCCCGAAAAAAAAAACAAAAAAAACAAAACAAAAAAAAAAAAACCCCAAGATTTTCACCTAATGACTGATAACTGTTCTCACAGTGGGATAGAAAAGCTTATTTAAGTTTTTTTCTCTTGATGTCGGTTGGGTTGATTAACATCGTGAAATTATCAAGAAACAAGTTCCTAAAATGACAGCAAATCTTTCATTTTGCTGACTTCAGGTGCAGTGAAACTGCTGCTGTCCTCTGAGACTCCCATTGAGGGCAAGAAAATGTCCTTCGTGAATGACCTCACTGTCACTCGGGATGGGAGGAAGATTTATTTCACTGATTCCAGCAGCAAGTGGCAGAGACGGGACTACCTGCTCCTGGTGATGGAGGGCACTGATGATGGGCGGCAAGTGTTCCTTTTAGTGTTCCCTTCAATTAGTAGATGAGCCACAGGTGTCAGGTAACACCTGTTTCTGCTGGAAGCTGTAGCAGGGTCTCAGCACAGAATGCCCGTGTCTAGGAGCAAGACCTTAGTGGCTCTGGAGTCAGGTGACTGCCAATATGATCTTCCTTCTTCAGAGCAAATAAAATGAAGTCTATCCATGGGGTTCTAGACAGAGTGGGTGGGCCCCCAGCAGGCCTAGGATTCAGGTCATGTCTCTAAAGGCTGGTGTGCTAGACCTCACTCTTGACCTAGTTCTCTGGTCTGTCAGATCTGGTCTGGATCTGGTGTGGACAGGGAGGGCCCTTACTAGCCAGCCTGGAACCATGTCCATACAGATCCCTGACTGGGTTTTATCACTCCAGTGGGAGGCTGAGTCACTTTCCCTTTCCCCAAGGCCACAGGAGATCTTGGGCTCTCCCCCTTTGTGACTGCTGTGTTGGGCCATCCACAGCCTGTTGGAGTATGATACTGTGACAAAAGAAGTGAGGGTTTTGTTGGACCAGATGCGGTTCCCTAATGGAGTTCAGCTGTCTCCCGAGGAAGACTTCGTTCTGGTGGCAGAGACAACCATGGCCAGGATACGAAGGTGTGTGTGTGTGTGTGTGTGCGTGTGCGTGTGCGTGTGCGTGTGCCTGTGCGTGTGCGTGTGCGTGCGTGTGTGTGTGTGTGTGTTCTTCTCCAGATCTTGTCATGGCCTATGGTAGAATAGAATTGAGGTGAATGGATGTCTGAAATGTGTCTTGATTTCATGCTATCTGTATAGCCTGCAGCCTGTTTCCTTGTAAGGTGGGCTTTGGTTCTTCCTGCCTGTGTGGTCCTTAAGATTTCTGTCAGCAGCTCACTCTGCATTCGCAACAGACACATGTATAGTATGTTCCATACATGTATTTGAACAAAGACCAGCTTTGTGCGTGGCAGAAAACTGTCACTTCACCTGTCTGACATCAGAGGCCACCCCATACCCGTTAGTCCTGCTGCTGTCTACAGTGACTGTTTTGGCCTCCTTCTGTCCTCCTCCATACCCTGTGAGTCTCATGACTTTCCTTGGCTTTCCCCATCTTGGGAGCCCCTCTCCTCTGCAGGAGGGAATGTTTTAATTCTGAGGAAATGAACATACCCATACCGCATTTTCCCCTGTTCTAGAACAGGCCGTTTCTCTGGGGTGTACTTGGGCTTCTGGGCACCAAGTGTTCATTCTTAAAAATTTTCCTTAAATTGTTTTCAACTTTGCATTGCCTACTTGGGCATGTTTTTCAGAGTCTATGTGTCTGGCCTGATGAAAGGTGGGGCAGATATGTTTGTGGAGAACATGCCTGGATTTCCTGACAATATCCGGCCCAGCAGCTCTGGCGGATACTGGGTTGCTGCTGCGACAATTCGTGCTAACCCTGGGTTTTCCATGTTGGATTTCTTATCTGAGAAGCCTTTTATTAAGAGAATGATTTTTAAGGTAATTATGAAAACTGTTTCCAAAAAGCAAGATGGAGATGAGTCTAATGGTCTATTTCCGTTGGCCTGAATAGCTCTCAGACTTCAGTTCTATTTAGAATATTTGCTACCTGTCACGCCTACTTTTAAGTAAACGTGTGTGTTCACGCTTAGGTGTATGCATTTGTATGGAGGCTAGATGTCAACCGTAGGAGTCAGTCCTCTGGAACTGTCTACCTTATTTTGTGAAACAGGGTCTCATCTGGGGTTCATCAGGTAGCAAGGCTGGCCAGTCTTTGGGCCTCAGGGTTCTGCTTATTTCCATGGCCCCAGCACTGGGTATGTCACTTCTGGCTTTGCTTGAGTGGTAAGCACTTTGCTGACAAAGGGACTCCCCAGTACCATAAACAGGTTTTATTCTTTAGCCTAATGTTTTAATTCTGAGGAAATGAACACACACATTCTGCATTTTTCCCTGTTCTAGAACAGGCCGTTTCTCTGGGGCGAGTACTTGGGCTTCTGGGTGCCATATGTTCATCCCTTTGGTCAGCACTGTTCATAGTTTTCTCAGGAACAAAGCTGGAAAGTGCAAGTACATGCTTATACCTACATTTATTTACCATACTCATTTAAATTTAAAAGCCATAGTTTATGCAAATTACCTGTAGTATAACTGAACCCTATGGATTTTATTCTAGTTTTCTTAGTTCTACTCATCTTTGTACCTTCCCTGTCTTACAGTGAGATGCCCGGGTCCCCTTATCTTGCATGTATTTCCTTTGTTTTTGAGACAGCGTTTTACTATATGCCTAGATTTGACTAGAATCTACCAGCCTCTGCCTCTCAAGTCTGGGGTTACAAATGCTTGCCACAATACATAAATGTGTTTACTGTTTAATCAGTTCTTTCAAGTACAACTATGTTATAGCTGTTGCCCCTATTTGAGGAGACTCAGGCCTGGTTCTAAACTCTACACAGATTTCTTCTTTCAAGTGTCTTTCTCAAGTGCCAGAAATCATGTCCTTCTATGGGATTTCTCTGCTTAAACTTTTTATGAGATCCACAAGGCTACATCTGTTTGTAGCTGGGCTCAGGGGTGCCCAGCTCAGCTGTGAAGGGGCATGCCTACAAGGACTTCAGACCAAGCTTCAAGGAAGATAGCAAAGCAGGCTTGTTTAGAGGTGATATCTTAGGATGGACTTGCTCACTTAAACCTCGCAGCCCTTTTTAACAGTGAAAGGCTTTTAAAACACCCATCACTTTCCTCTTACACTCCTTGAGTATATAAACCCAACTAGAGGACTTGGGGTTAAGCTGGGCAAAGATGGTTCTCAGCTTGACTTCAGTGTAATGATTTCTTGGAATGTGATCTTGCATTTCTCTGTAGTTAGCTAAGCCATTGCTGTCCCTGTGAATCCTTGACCTCCTTAGTCAGATCTGCATGGGAGTGGGGTACATGATTTTGCCCTTGCCCTATGGGACCTCCTATCCCCAGGGTTCTGGGCTACTCTTATATGATGAGAAGTTGTGTGGTCAGTTTGCTTACAGTCACAAGGTAAGCTCTCTTCCCTGATATTTCCTTTCCAGCTGTTTAGTCAGGAGACGGTGATGAAGTTTGTGCCACGGTATAGCCTGGTCCTAGAAGTCAGTGACAGCGGTGCCTTCCGGAGAAGCCTGCATGATCCTGATGGAGTGGTGGTCACCTATGTGAGTGAAGCACATGAACACGATGGACATCTGTACTTGGGTTCCTTCAGATCTCCCTTCATCTGCAGACTCAGCCTCCAGTCTATTTAGGCAGCCCAGCAGCTGTGCATGCCAGGGATCATCGCACTCAGCCACCACAGGTCCAGAGGGAGCCACGGACATAGCTATATCCCTGTGTTCCCGTGTTCCTGCTAGTCCTTGGAAGTGTGCGAGTAGCTGCTGCAACCTGGAGAAAGTGTGGATCTCTCAGCTGGACTTGATGTCACTTTTGGAGGGAAGCAGTGTGTCTGCTGTGGGGAAGACAGTTCACAAAGAACCATTTCTCTTAAAAAAAAAATACGCTAAGTACACAAATTCTTTAGGACTTGGAAAATTTCATACACTTGTCACAGGGCTCAGGGTTTGGTGATTAGAGTAAGGGATTAGCTATGCAGGGACCTTTCTGTCACGAGTGGCTCTGTCTGCCACGTTCAGTGTCTTCATTCTAAAGTGGGGTCATACCTTTGGGCATGGCATGGAAGTGCCAGGGCAGGTGTGTTGAGGTTGCTGGCTGGGATCATGGAAGCTGAAACTTTGTTCTCAGGGGCCATGTGAGGTGTGTGAGAATACGTGGACTCTTGCTCCACAGTAAAGGGGTGTCTTACCAACCTCTCCATGCAGTGGCCCAGCCTCTTTTCATGCTAGAGGGTTTTCAGGATTCCTATTTCAGTGGCTAAGAGGATTTCATTGGGCTTTTTTCTGTGACTACCTCCTACACTAGAATTGTGTGACCCAGCCAGTTTATACCTGCACAGGGTACTTCAGAAATGTCCTTTTTATGGTTTGACTCCTTACCTTAGACCTACAAATGTGAGTAGTGACCTGTTGATGTAATGTTTGTGCAATGTAATAAGCTCAGAGTTGCTTATTTCTTGGCAAGTATGTTTATACACTGGTCTTAATTTTGATAATAAATAATATAAAATAAACTTTTCTGATGGATACTGCTTTTGATGAAGTGATGTGGGAGTTTCTTCTCTATTTTAATCATTTTATATTTCTGCTTTAATTGCATAACAGTGTCAATATGAAAACTGTTTTGGTAAGGGTATTGCTTTAGGGTCAAACAGCCATCTGATTTGCTTAGAAATGAAGCTAGGGTACTTTTCAGGGTACCCAGGTCCTCAAGAGGCTTCCCTTGAGGTTTGACTTATTGCAGGTAATTGATTTTGGCCTTCTCTCCTGTTTCTGTCCTCTGCTGTTGGCACTTGTTTTCTTTCTTCTTGGGTGTGACAATGCTGAAAAGATTGTGTTTCTGGAAGTGTTTGAAATCATTTGGCAGAAAAGTAGTTTGAATAGTTAATGATATAAAAATTGAAAAAGAGTCAATAGCTGTGGTAAGTGAAAACCATTGGCTAGTTCCTTCCCTCCCCACACTGCTCTTGTTCAGTTGGAGAAGTGGCTGGAGTTTAATGAGTTGTCTTTCCTAATCTTGTGTCACCTCCTTGGGACTGGCTTTGTAGAAACAAAGCAACAGTAGAATTGTGGTAAGATGGGCTTTAGACCAGTGAATGCAACTTGTGTTTCATCAGCTAAATAACTGTCAATACTGTTGATGGAACTTTTTAGGAAAGAAAATTGAACAGTCATGTACATATTTTTAATAGCAATGACGGGTCCCCTCCATCAGGTATGCATGAATAGTTGGGTGATATGAATGAAGCTATAAGAACTCTGCATGTCCTGGGCCTGTAAGTTGACTTTCATTTTGTTTGAGAAGATGGTTTTGCCTTTAGGGCTAAATTCTCCTTGGTGAAGTTATATTTTATTTTATTTTTAGCAAAGGATTCTTGATTTTGACTCAGCTGCTGCTTTCAGCTCCCAAGTGTCATTTCCTGTGTTTATATGGTTATTTGACATGGTGAGGTGCTAAAGAGGGTTGTCTTAGGCGGTTTAAATACGTGGTATGCTTTTCTTATAAACATAAAGGAAATCCTTTCTAATATGAGTTATTAATTTGCCCATAAGGTTAATTAAGTAATTAATAATTTGCCTCAATACTGTTTCAAAACTCGATTAAGAGTCAATTTTTGCCTGACATAGTAATGAAATGCCTTTTGAGATTTTTATGGTCAACATATCCTTACAGAGTGGTTCTATATAATTTTTAAAGGTTTTTTTTTTTTTTTTACATATACCATCTTACAAGTTTTTTTTTTTTTTTAGACATTGTCTTGATACATTGTGCAGGCCGGTCTCAGTCATGGGCTCAAACCATTTTTCTTCCTCAGCTCCTGAGTAGCTAAAACTATGCATACCATATCCACCTTGCATATGTTGAATTAGTGATGCAGGGATGGATGGTGTTGTATGGATGAGAACTGAGGCTTAAGGGTTAGTGACTGCTCAGCGTCACAGTCAGTACATGACTGAACTGGAGTCCTTGTTCTGTAAGTCTGGACAGCAGGCAAGTGGCCTTCCCAAGGCTTTTGAGGCAGTGGCTGCTGTTACAGTTTTCAGGTAATGGGCTTGGATCAGGACCTTGGTATTAGCAGAGTCTCAAAATGCCTTAGAGTGTATATGGTGGTCTGGGCAACAGTGGTGTGAGGAGTTCTCATGGGCAGGGGTGAGAGTGATATTTTATGGAGCAGTAATTGTAGGTTAGCTCACTGTGCCACCTGCAAGAGTTGCTCAACCAAGCAGAAACAGATATTTGAAGCATACAGTCATAAAAATGGCACAGTGTATCTGGGGAGGAATGTGTGGCAATGGTATGGCAGGAGAAAGCTCTAGAACATCAGAGTTGAGCTCTGTCAGGATTCTCCAGACCTTGGGATGCTGTCATTGACATTTATGAAAACCACAGCATGGAACCCTTCACTTACTGCTTTATCATGGATGTCACACAGATGCGTCCTGAGGACCCTCACTGAGTACCCTGTGACTCTCTAATTGGTTATATGTGGGTTCAAGGACCTTTCTTAAGAATCGGCTTTAGACGTTTCCACAAATTTCCCAGTGAAGTCAGTGTCTTGTGGCATTGCTGCTATCACTGTCCTGAGTTAAAATAGCCTGGAGATAGTCAGGACAAAAATAAAATGGAATTTGAAGGATACCAAGGTAGATGATTGGTGACCTCTTGTAGGTGTTACAGCAGTTACATTGCTATGCACATTGGATGCAGATTTGATTTCCTACTTGTTATCAAGTCTGTATTGCTTCCAGGTACCCACATCTTTCTGTTTTGCATTCTTAATTTGAGGAGAGCCTGGAAAAGAAGTTCAGTGAGTGGCCTCTCTCTCCACCCTGGAGCTCCTTGGTACTCAGTCAGGGTTTCCTCGGGATGAAGGCTCTGAAACCAGGTTGTCAGCCCATTCTGGGTTTACCCTCTGCTCCGTCCCTGTGCATCTTCTAGCTCAAGCTCCATTGCTGTCTTTCCCAAGTTCCCGGTGCCCTGCAGTTCTTGGTTGCCTCTTCTTTCTTCCAGGGCCCCACCCAGTCTGTCTATCCCCATGCCAGCCCTTCATCCAGGCTCCATCGGTGCTCCAGTGGATGGCTTTGAGGGTCCTATCATTTACCCTACTCTGTGCTGAGCTCTCCCAAACTATCAGCCCTCATGGCAGCAGAGAACTTGGATGGAGGTGCTATCCTGTCAGAAGCGCTTCCTCTCTATTCTGGGGATGCTATTGCCATGTTGATAACAAGGTCTGGGCTTAGGTCTTCAGCACACTGGTGCTTAGAGCTTATCACTGTATCAAGCCTCCTGAGGGTGAATTCACCAGGCTACCCACATTTTTGGGTTCCTATAAATGGTGACATACACAGTATTGCTTTGAGATGATCAGCATTTATTTATAATAACCATTCCCATCAACAGTGGTGTGATGTTAATGGTAGACAAGAGATGGATACAGAATCTGTCAGGTCAGGTATCAAGACACCTCCCACACTATTACTTTGTTGACTGTATCTGCTTTGCTCTACCCGTGCTCCAAAAATGCCATCAAAGGATTCTGTCTATGTCCACATCCTGAATCTGAGTGCAGCACCAGAATTAAGTTTTAGAAGAAATGTGAATAGTTAATCTGGCCAGGAGGGCACTGTGTTCTTCCATCCTAGTCACCTGATGACCCACGGGTACTTCCATCTCTCCCTGGGAAGAAGCCCTGAATATTTGAGATGGCCAGGCTAGGGTGGAAGGGAAGAAGTAGGGGGTCACATGTGTGCATATTTATCACAGCCCTGGTCTTGCTGAAGAGGCAGGAGTCAGTGGCAGCGGAGAACAGGTACCTCGAAACTGTGGAGCCAGGGGATGACCCAGACTTCAGAGTAGCAGTGTAGAATCTGAAACAAACCGAAAGGACTCACTTGAGAACTCCAGCTGCCACAGAGACTGCCCATCCAGGGTAGCTCTTTTGGTACCCCTTGGGCATGCCAGGCAGCTGGGAGCTGTATGTGAAAGTGTATGCATTCACATGTGTTCTGTGCTGAGGCAATTTCCTCCTTCAGTTTTTATCTCGAAAATCTTCAAGCCTATTAAAAGTTGGAGTGATTCAAGAGTGCATGTTTCTCTCACTTATAGTTATGGAATGTTAAAGTTTCCCACATAGCACTTGCTGTTCTCTGTACAGATCATATGTAGTAACATCTCACATGATATGTATACACACACACACACACACACACACACACACACACACATATATATGTATGTATATATGTTATATATAATATATATCTTGTATATGTGATTAATATATGTATTTACATGTAATAGTCTATGTATGTAGGTATTGTGTATGATTTCTGAATTATTTGAAAACTTTACCTGCTATAATCTCCCTATCCCAAATTCAGAGTATTTGTAAAGAGGCCTCAGGAAGTGAAGTCAGGTGGTGTGGGTCGTGTGCGGGGTGGGAGGGTACTGCCCTTCAACCCTGTGTCCTATGTTCGTGGGGATGAGGTGTGGAGGTGTGTGGCCAGTGAAGGGACCGCCATCCTGAAAGGTGAGCTGGGTGAGCTCTTCTGCCTTACCCTCTTCAAGACAGGGTTGGTTTGGAAGTCACAGTTGTCCAGGCGGGGGTGCACTGTCTTCCTGCATGTAGTTCTGCCGATTTCCACCTCCAGCATGTATTTCAGGCCTTTCACCACCTGAGGAAACCAAAGACCCAAGAACTAGATTTCTGGGCATAGGATGCAAGGGGTGGGAGTGGGAGTCACTGCCTCAACAGCTACTGAGGAGCAAGGTGAGGAGAGAGCTGGGAACGGGGGGAGGCAAGGCCAGGATCTGCCAGGAGAGCTGCTGTAGATGAGCAGACCCAGACTTCAGCCATCTGTCTTCCTCTCCTGCTGCCAGTGCCTTGGAGCCCCCTGTAGGTAGCTGTTTTCTGCCTGGAACTTTGCATTCTGGAGAAACATCAGGGTGGCGTTGCCACAGCCACAGGTCACGCCTGCCAGACTCTCCCATCTCAACCTACCCAACAGCCCCCATTAACCTGCAGTGATGGTTAAATGAGTGTCAAGCCTGCTGGCTTCTGCACTCTCATGGAAATTGTTTTGAGTTTCAAAATAGCCCGCTCCACTCGGACACAACCGAGACTTAGTTCTTTTCTTGCTTGTGGTTTCTGTATAGTTGGAGGAAGTTCCTCAGCTTTCAGTCCCAGTCTTAACCAAATAGCATGTGAAATAGTCTCCAACATCACGGGAGCACAGAGGGAGAATGCTCACCCCCTTTGTGGGGGACTATGGGCACTCAGGCCCAGGGATCTGATTGTCTGAAGCTGGTCCTTGGAGTGCTGATTGATACATACCAGCCATACACCAGCCTGTCCCAAAGCATCCTTTCCAATAGAACATTACACAGTTGCTAAAAGAAGACTATAGAAACCACCCTGATGCCGTCGCCCAGAACAAACACTAATGCTGTAAAGCCATCATCCTCAGAGTAAGGTCTTTCCTGGCTTTTTCCCTGCAGGCCCCAGCACTTAGG